TTCCCCCACTGTCTGCTTTCTAAATAATATTTAATTAATAATAAGTATGATATATGCATATAATATTATTAAAATATATTAAAAAAAATAATTTAATTAAATTGAAATATAAATATTACTTAAAAGTTCTCTCTATTGAATAGAGTAGTACTCTAATACATACATTATAATTATTATTAGAAAAATAATCATCTAGAAATATGTACATACACATGTATGTATGTGTGTATGTATATATATAGACATTCGTTTTATAAATTTATTGATTTCAAAGCTTACAACCCATAAGCTTGGCTCCACGCTACCTAATTTTTTTTTATATCAAAATTTTGATTCTTATATTTGATTATATAATAAAAAAAGCGTTGGTTATTTTCGAATTTATACATACATATGTATGTAAATATAAAATTTCTACTAATTCTGGCTACGCCAATGTTTCTATATTTTCCCTAATATATGTATGTATTTTAATCTGATTCAAAATTATATCGAAAAGTGTTAAAAGGTTACTTCATCAATTTTAAAAAACACATTATTTTATGAAAATTGTAAAAAATATTGTAAAAAATATCAAAATATTTTCATTTAACAATAATAACGACAATTATATAATTGCTATTAATATTTATTATAATAATATTAAATAATATAAATATATTGTAAGTAATAATATTAAAAAAAACGATATTGTATGACAACAATACAAACACTTTTAAATAAGTAATAAATAAAAATGATATATGTATATATATCCTTAATATACATACATACATACGTATGGATTGTAAGTTAAGTGAAACGCTTAACGCCATTTTTAATTTTTTTTACATTGTGGATACATATTTTTTCTCCTGATCTGTGTGTCCGGCGCCGAACGCAAATTTTGCATGCAATCCTACATTGACAGAGAGAAGAATAACTCTGTATTGTCATATGTTGCATATACATACATACCATATATAAGTATATGGTTGTACATACTAAATACACGCAATGCATTTGCCTAATTGAACATTCACATAGTTTGCGTTAGTCTCTTGCGCCGAAAGGTATTGTGCGCATTTGGTGTCTTTTTTTTTGTGGTTACGCAGTAAAAGTTTGGATAATGGTAAGTAAAATATAATAAAACGAAAATGAAATAAATATTTTTTAAATTATGTATATTAAAAATGTAACATAAGTGCTTTATTATTTAAAAATTACTTAATAACATAAAAAATAAATTTTAATATAAAATATTATAATATTTAAATAGTATTAATATTTATTTATAATACTAAGAAATAAAATTAAAAGTCTATTTGGCTTTTAATAACATTTCTTTATTATTTTTATTTAAATTATTAAAAATAAATATTAAACAAATAATTTTTTTAATTATTCCAGAATACAAATATGATTACAGGCGTCCTAATGGGATTGCTGGCTGGCAGCATTAATGTAAGTATTAAATGATTCAATTATTTGACTTAATACACACATTTTTTTTATAACTTTTTATTGGTATACATATGTATTTATTAATAAAATTTAATCATATTGGTATATTTTTTCACAGCCGCCCCTGCAACATCAGCATCAACAGCGTCATGAAGAAAATTGGAGACATCGGCAAGAAGAAAGTTGGCGACGTCGACAACAAGAAAAACGCCGACGTCAACAAGTAGAAAGACGCCGGCGTCAAGTAGAAGAAAATCGCCGACGTCGGCAACAAGAAAAACGCCAACGTCGACAAGAAGAAAAACGCCGTCGTGATGTGGAAGCAAATCGCCAACGTCAGCTAGAAGAAAATCGCCGGCGTCAGCAGCAAAAACAAGAGGAAGCAGCGAAAAATAATCAACATAACCAAACCAAAGAAAAGAAACAAGAGCCGGATTCAAGTACTGGATCTTTTAAACAAATGAAAAAAGAAAAAGTAGAAAAATAAATAAAAAACGTCATTGTTTTTTTTTCTTTATGAATAAAAATTTAAATGTTAATATAAATATAAAAAATTAATTGAATAATTATTTAAAAAAAACATTCCGCTTTTATATTTTGCTTTAACTTATTTTATAAATTTAATATTTTACATGAATAAAAAACTTTAATAATAAAATAAAATCGAATTTTTTTGTAAAAAAATAGGCAAATTTTTAAAAAATGATTGTAAAAAAATTGTGTACACGATTTTTAAGATTTTTAGTTTTTTGCAAAGGAAATTTCTTCATCTTTATGGACATATTCATAGCAATTTTGAATACTCCCATGGAACAAATCTCCCTACTCCCATGCAGTTTTGGAAACACCAACAGTTTCAAATTTGTTTTGTTAAATTTTGGCAACTATGGCAAAGCAAAACAAAGAAAAGAATTGCGGTTCATATTTTGATTTAAATGTAAGAATCGCATTATTTGTCTGCTGTACAAATTATCAGAAATAAATATGTATAATGAATACTTTATAAGTAAATAATAGAAAATTTTTATTTAATTTATTATTTAAATATGTATATAATTTATTATTTTCTTATATACAATAAAACAAAGTAAAATATCTTATTTATTAATTAAAGTTATAAATGTTTTAACTAAAATTTGAGTTAAAAGAAGTAATGTTTTAGCTGCGCATATAATTGCAAAAGTTTATTTTAACTTATTCTAGGAATCCCATTCATTTCAGGATTTCGATTTATTTCATTATCTTTTGTTTTAAATAACAATGCTTTAATTTTGTTGAAATAAAAACCCTAATGGATAAAATAAATAAATAAAAATTTAAATATATTAAATTTATTATAATCCTTTTATTAAAATAATAATTTTAATAAAATATATTAAATACAAATTTAGTTATATTAAATTTATTATAATAATATTATTAATAAAAATTCGAAAAACTAATCAACCTGTGTAAATAAAATAAAAAAATAAAACTGAAAATAATAAATTTATTATAATATTATAATTTATTATAATTATTTTATTATAATAATTTTATTAAAATATATTTAAAAATCTGATCATTATAAGTTACTTTCATGTTAATTTAAACTATTTTTATTACTTTTTTAACTTGTCTTCCAAACAATTTGCTTGGGAAAGAATTTGTGCAAAATTGGGAAAAAACTTACATTCCCATATGATTGAAATAAGGGAATCGGGAATATGGAACAAACCCACATTCCTATATTATTCAGAATAGTAAAATTGGGAATAGGTAACATATTGGTTTCTCTTTTGCATAAAAATTTATTGAGACACATACAATATATGCATTAGCTAAAAAATTCTTGATTTTTGATGAAATTTCTGTGATATGAATACAATATTTTGTTGATATATTTTAATTTCTCATCTTAAACTTTTTCAAAGAAATGTTTGAAAAGAAATAATAATTTTCATATTTGATTAAATTTCCTGGGGTGAAGACAAGTGTGAGCTTTCTTATTTTTTTGCAATTGGACGCGTGTTTTATTGCCTTTTAAAGTTTCCGTGTGCTTTTAGATCTTTATTACAGTTTTTTTTAAATTAATTTTCTTAAATAAGAAAATCGCATTTTCTGTTCAATTTTTAATTTACTCATTTATTTGCAAAAGTACAATCATATTCATACTTGAAATATAGATGGCGCTGGCACTCCTGCCTTGAATGTACTCCGCATTTGGCGCTGTGAATGTGCAGGTTTTTATTTTCAAATAATTGGATTTTTTGTAAAAAATGGATAATTTTTAAAAATAATTGTGAAAAAATTGTGTGCATATATATTACGATTTTTAGCTTTTTGATAAGTAAATTTTCTTATCTTTAGAAATTGCGATTCCTCTTTTACACAAGGTGTTATAATGATTACAATGAAGTAAGCTAAAAAAATACACATTTTTATCAATTTTTTATGATAAAAGTAAAATATGTTGTGAAGGTTTTAAAATTATGTTTTGTAATGTATTTTTCAATATTTTTCATTTTGTTTTTGAAATTGGATGATATTTAAGCAGTTTTAATACGATTTAGCACATATTCTACGAGTGCAATTTTTCTGATTTTTTATTTAATTGATAGCTTGTTTTATTGCCTTTCAGTTGAATATTTGTACAGGTCGGTCAGTCTTCGGTTGTTTTTTTCATATATATTTTTATGTAAAAATTGTCAGTTCTTAAAAAAATTTGTTTTTATTTTTGGAGTGTCTCAGCTATTACGCAACATACAATTATGAGGTATATTTCAAATGAAAGATTATTTAATTTTATATCAAAATAATATTTTTTATTTGATTAAAAAGCTTAAATTTAGCTAATTTTGACAAATTAATAAACTTAGAAAAATTTCGTTTTTCATTACGGTTTGGACACATCTTAATTTTGCAAAAATCTTGATTTCATCTTTGTTTCAGCGAAATTAAATTGTTTTTTACATACAATATTCAGTTTTAAGGTTAGAAACAAGGGCTGAAATTAAGGGACATTACAAATGCAACTATGCATAAGATATATTTTAAGAAAAGATAAAGTTCAGATAACGAAAAAGGGACATTTTTTTTTAAATAAATGTCAGTAACAATTGACTTTGATAAAACCTGGAAAATATTTTGAGAGTAGTGCAAGTTTTTACATTTTAATGTAAAAGAGAGTGAAAAATATAATTCACATACCTTAAATCTACTAAAGCTAATAAAACTACTGAATGCTATCCTTTATAGTTATAATAATCAACTTTTAAAATTTCCCAGATACAAATGGTGTTTGGAGCATTAAATTTTTGTATATAAAAAACATGTGATTTCCTTAATTTGTGACAGTATGAACACTTTCGAAATTAATGTAATTTCGTTTTTACGAATTTAAGAAAATTTGGCTATCTGAATATAGTATAGTTAAAATCATATTTTATTCACCTCACAAAAATTAGTGTTGGTAAAAATATCACCAACACTAACATTTTGAAATCAACATCACATCCATATTGGCATAGCTCGCTGATTATATCGCTAGTTATGGGAACACACCACGGATTCGTTTAGTCGAAAAGAGGTAATTGCGAAGATATCTGAATAAAATTGCTGCAATTAATTTATCATATTTTTTAATATATCGTAATGCAATAGTACTGCAATGTGTTGTATATGTTTACACGAACAAAAAGTGTACAATTTATACTTTATTTAATAATTTTTACGGTGAGTTGAGCGCCTAAAAATTCTACGACTAAAGTTGTCACACGAAGCTGCTATTGATGAAAAATTTTCCATTATATATAAAATTTTTGTATGTGTTGCTAGAAATTACAGTCACGAAAGTTAACTCTAAAAGTTATTTTCTTTTGAGGTTTTCTAATAAAATTTCATAATACGAAAAGTGTTGCTATTAGAATATAGAGAAAAGGAATCTTTTTAATTATTTAATTTCTAAAAAATTTTATGTGAATGTAGGATTTGTTGTGAAAATTGACCGAGCGGGCGCAAAAAGAAAGTGTAGAGAAATTTTTATTATACATTTATCTACAATTTGTGCGCGCATATTTACGAAAAAATAACACTTGTAAATTAATCTTAAACGTTACGAAAAACTAAAAATTTAATATATAACTATTATAAAAATATTGTATATATAATAACAAGGGAAATATATACGATGGCAAAATATGTTCATTGATTCAATAAAAAGCGCGCCATTATGTGACGTAGCAGGTTAGACCCATAAACACTTGCTGCAGCATTTCGTTTATACACTTTTCTTACAAAAACCTGAATAAGAAAGAGTTAAATAACATTAAAGAATATTTTCTTTAAAAACATAAAAGTATATTTTCTTTAAAAATATAAAAGTATATTTTCTTTAAAAGTATAAAAGTAAATTTGTTTGTGCGTGAAATTTTAGTTTTTATTGTAAAATGTGATTTAGCAAATGAAATTAATTTATTGTCAATTAAATTGTATTTACGTTTATTATAAGAAAATAAAATTTATTATATTTACATGATTTTGTTTTTATTTAATATGTATAAATTGAATTAGTTGTAAAAAAAACTGTGATTATATTTTGTAAATATTTATATTGTCTAAGTACACGTTCGTCAAAACGTATCGCAAGTTGCCCAGAGTGAAATGAATAAAAGTAAAGCAAAATAGTTTGTTATTGTTTTTATTCTATCTTTCTTCCACATTATTTTCAATGGGAATTGCTTTTGCTTGTTTGCTCAAGTGCGTTTCACACAAAACCACTCAAAAGTACACCACAGCGCAAATCTCAAAAATTGTTTCTTCCTGAGTTTATATTTTTTTCGTCTCGTTTTTTTGTGCTCAATTGTCACTTAATAGAATATTTTTTGAACAAAAAAGAAGTAAAATCTTTGTCTTAAACTGGCTTAGAGAATTCAACATATTTTGCAATTTATTTACTTCAATAAAATATTTATTTTATTTGAAATACTGAAATACACGTAATTATTTTGATAATATTTCTCATTGATAGTTTATTAAATGCTATCAAATTTTCGTTTAAACTGTCCTCTGCAATTCTTAAAAAAAATATTTTCGAAAATGATTCTCCACTACTTCTATATCAAAAATAATTACATTTAATTCTTTTTTTATCTAAACGTTTTACGTAGTAATTTTTAAGGCACGCTGTTCTACTTTATTTGCTGCTACTACATCCGTGTATTCCAACATCGTCGAAATTCAAAGAACGTCTGCTGCGTAAACCTCATTTGAAATTACTTTATTCTCTGCTTCAAATGGCCAACTCAGTGCTGCTCATTCACTCAGTCTTCCACTCATAATTTTTTTATTATGTTTATTATGAGTGCATTCAGTGTGTTTATGCGAAAATGTTGACGACGATGAGCGGATGATTTTGTTGTGAACTGTGAATATGATTTTTGTGCACAGTTCGAAATGAAAATTGCCTGTAAAATGTGTCGCAGACGCTGACATCAAAGTAACGAAATCTCTATTTATCCGCACTTGCCCACCGGCGTGCGTAGCTATTGAGTTTCTGGTGCTGACTGGCCGTGTACTTTCAAAAAAAAACTTAAAAGATAAACTTGCCTTGCATTACGTTTTGCTATTTTTTTTATTTTACACTCAACGGTTTAAATATTAATGAGAAATTATTAAAAACATGATGATATACTATTATTAAGAAATAATTATTTTTAATTATTATTTAATTGTATAATTTGCATGATATATGTTATATTTAATTTATAAGAATTTAATACTTTATAGTTATAAGATTTATTATACTTCTACTTTTTATTTATTTTCTTTTTTTAAGATCCTTTATTGTGTAAGGTTAGTACGAATTAAACTATGTTTACACTTTAGACTTATCGAACCTCTTTAGCATACTTTTTTTATATGGATTTCAAATGAAAAAGTGCACATTTTGCTGCATATTTGTCAAATTACATAGAGTAATCTAAATATAACATTAACTATGTAAGTTGTTATTTGTGTTGTAGCCCGTCGGGATCTGAAAAGCAGATAACATGTAAGGATAACAAGACGAATACATGGGTTCGGTTAGAGTTAAGGGAATAATGGGAAGGTAATTGAAATCAACCGAGGTCCAATCGTAGAAACTTAGCTACCTCAAGGGAATGAGTACAAAGGTCGATTGTACTTAAATTAGTGAAGTGGAACAAGAGAACAGATGAGCGACGTCAAGCGGGATAGAGTTACAGTTTGGGCACATATTAGAAATGGACAAGGAACTGTTTAGGACATGGCTATATCCTGATCACAATTGAGCTAGGGCAGTTCTTGCTGTACGGGGGGGACGAACTATGTAGGTTAATTTTTACTACTGTTGGATTGTATCTAATTATGTTACATAGAATATGTGTTGTGTTAAAAAATACATTAGTAGGGGTATCGGAGGTGCTCGGTAAATTAACAAAATTTTATATGAATTTGTTTTGTATAATTACAACGTTATCGAATTACCGAGACATCAGGTCCGATAATTTTTTCATTACGCCTATTACTAAAATCTAATGACTCCTTTGAAGTGCATTGAATACTATGCTCATAAGTCTATCATTGACTTCAATTTTATACAGTCGTTGTTTCATTCTAATATCGTTTGAGAGCCAGTATAGAGTGAATGTAATGGTTTTTTTATATGATTCACTTTAACGTGCGAATTATCTCTGCTATGACCAAATACTTTGGAACTAGAGTGATTAGTTACTAAAACCGAAAGGTTCTTTATACTTTAAAAATGACGTGCGAACATCCTCGAATATTGCTATAAACAAACACTTTGGAACTAGTCTGATTCGCTACTAGAACCAGAAGTTATTCTTGTAGTGGTAGTACCTGTTTATGTATAAAACACAAACAAAGACAATTTTATTTCACAACTTTACCAAGAATGAGTTCAAAATGTAACATACAGTCAGTGTTTAGCTGCCAACTTCTGTTTTGACACATTATTTTATACAAGTTAATCAACAAATAAACATATTAGATTTTAAAAACCTATTCTGTGTTATAATAAGTCCAATGAAAAAATTGACTTTTTTCTTAATTTGGAAACCGACAGTTTTTAAATTTCATATAAAACACGAAAGTAAATTTCAACATACAGTGGTGGTCTATTATAACAAACTGCATAATTTTTTAGATCATTCATTATATTGCAAACATTTTATTTTATTTATTTATTTTTATGGATAATCAATTAATTAAACGCAATAATTTATTTGGCTTTGCAGAAAGACCAAACAAAAATTATGTAGTATTGTACTGTTTATACTTTAAGGCTTAAGATGTATTTAATTATTATTAAAAAAGGCTCCAATCTGTGTTTGCTTTATTCTTCTAGCAATATTAAAGTCAATAGTTTCTTATAGCAATGTTCTAAGCAAAGGTAGATCGAGAGCATTTTCTTCATCAGAATTAAACCCCGCCCCAAAGATAGGATTTTTTTAAGACTCTATTTTTTTAAACAACTAAATTAGTCTTACTGGCCTCTTCCTCAGTGATGGATAATACAATTTGCGTGTCATAGTCTACAATGCTTATTTCTTTAATTTAAACACGGTTTAGTGTTGCTTCAGGACCCTAAAGACCAATTTCACAGTCATAATTAAAGTCTCGATACTGCCTCAAGTCATGCTACAGTTTTTGTTGTAGCCTTAGATGTTGTTGAAGATCTATCAATAGATAAGATAAATTACAAAGCGTGTACATGGGTTAGGATGTTGGTAGGTGATAGGAAAGGAGATTGCCATGCCGATATTCATAAATTATTATTGCTATTAAATATTTTATTTGGATAAAATCAATGTCTCAAACCTTTATAATAATTGAATTAACAAAATCTACAACATAATTCACTATAGTCAAAATTGTGAAGGTTCAAAAGCTTTGATTATACATGTTTGATTTTACAAACATTCGCTATTTAGAATCATTAATGGAGCTAACCGCATTCGTTGTACTGGGCCACTTCTGTGTACACTTTCTATTTCCATTGTTAATATTCAAATGATATTTTTTACGTAATAAATATATTTGAAATTGAAATGTTTCTAAATAATACCAACGCTAAACATATTGCAGAAAATCTTAATATTTTTATGCTTAAGCCTAAATATGATATACCCAAATATCAGCAAACTATATAAAATTGTTTCCTTTCTTTACATTTTTGCAGTAATTACACAATAAATTAGCACAATAATGGCTGCTAATAATAATTTAATCCATAACATGTCACCACAACCGTCATCACCCATAACTACAGGTGCAATGGGACAATCAGTGATTGCCTCGACTGGCACTGTTAGTCCTATGATTGGTATTAATTCTACACAGCCCTCTACTGCGGCACAATCAGTCTGGGATCAATTAACAGCTAATTCTTCGAGTACGCTTGCCAATATTAATAATAATATATTACCTACAACACCTACTACTCCCACATCGATAATTAATGATCAAAATTCAATGGGCATATTGGGTAATATTAATCCACCTGGTTCCAATTGTTCATCACCTTCCACTCCAACAAAAACCGGCGCTCCAATTGATAACATGTCACATACTCCACAAGCACCACCTACAATTGGGTCTATGCATTCCGGTGGGTATGGCGAAGAATTAACTGCAGAACTTGTTAATCAAGGTTGGCGTAAATTTTGGTCAAAACGTGAAAATCGTCCATACTATTGGAATAAAGTTACTGGCGAATCTCTTTGGGAAATGCCTGGTGCGAGACCATTCGATCCATTAACAGATCCATTAGGTAAGTTCAAATTATTAATAAATCATACAATCTTTCCAATCTCTAATACCAATACCAATACTAATACCAAAAGGCATTTGTCATACTGGAAATACAACCCCAGTTAATCCTGGTACCCCTCATCATTCACACATGCAACACCATCATTTAAAGAGACGACCTTCAGACGATGTTCATTTACATGGACATTCACATCAAGTACCACCAATGAAAAAATTTGTACTGAATGGTCCGTGGGACTTAGAAGTTTGTACAAATGCTGTTATAGTAGAACGTCCCCCAACTTTATTACCACATCCGCATCCTGAAATTGAAGCAATGCGTTCAGCTTATACAATGAAGCTAGTAAAAACTTATGAAGATTTGTGCATGCGAAGAGAAAATATTAAATCACCGAAAGATTCATTTAATCGTTGGCTTATGGAACGTAAAGTTATAGATACTGGTTCTGACCCTCTTTTACCTAGTTGTGGCTTACCAGATATATCACCTTCAATGTACCGGGAAATTATGGCCGATATTCCTATAAGAATTGTAAAACCCAAATATACAGGTAAAGTAATTGTGATACAAATTGATATCTGAATAACTAAATAACAAATGAATTGTTTATTTTTGAAAATAGGTGATGCTCGTAAGCAGTTATCACGTTATGCTGAAGCTGCTAAGCAAATAATTGAATCTAGATCTGCTCCTGCTGAGAGTAAAAAAATTGTTAAATGGAATGTAGAAGATACATTTCAATGGCTGCGACGGACTGTTGGTGCAAGCTATGAAGATTTTCAAGATCGACTCAATCATTTGAAGCGTCAGTGTGAACCACATTTAGTAGAAACTGTTAAGGGATCAGTAGAGCAACTTTGCGTAAAAATTTTTCTTCTTTCCGCTGAGCATGCACGCAAAATAAGAGAACGACATTTGTTGCTTTTAAAAGAGCATGGCATTCCAGAGCCAACTCCACCACCGCCACCACCACATTTAAAGAAAGTTTGGTGTTATCCCATACAATTCGCGGTACCTTCACCTCGTATGCCAGCCATTGAATACGTACAAGATAGAGATCATATGATCATTAAATATACACCTAGCACACCCAATCAACCGGATGCACAATATATAAATCTCACTCATCTCCAAAAACTTGAACAACTCTATAGACATAACTGCTTTGATGATAAAAAGTTCGACTTATTTATTGGACGCGTTTGGTGCCTACTAAAAAGATACCAAACATTCTTAGGAAATGCTTTGAACTCATCGCAGGAAGCTGAACTTACCCAAGCATCGTTGCCAGTGCCCGTGTTTGAATGCTTGCATCGACACTTTGGGGTTAGCTTTGAATGTTTTGCGTCGCCTTTTAATTCATACTTTCGACAATATTGTTCCGCATTTGCAGATACTGATGCCTATTTTGGATCTAGGGGGTATGTAAAAATATACACATTCATATATCACACACATTTACATAAATATTTTCCAATTTTAGGCCATTTTTGGATTTTAAACCAGTATCGGGCTCATTCCAAGTACATCCACCACATTGTGAAGAACTCATAGATGCATCGTTAGCTCATATCGATAAATTGTTAACCGACAGCTTAGAGCCTCTGAGGTTTGTTTAACTCTAAAGTTAGTGTTATCAATAAATCAATGTTAATCTTTCTTTACAGTTTCATAGTATTTTTACCGGAATGGAAAAGCATTGCTAAATTAGATGAGAGTATATACAAACGGCGCTCAATGGTAGTATTGGGAATGGCGCATGAATATCGTCATGGATATCAACACATCATACCAAAGTAATTAGTTAAAGCATCCAATCCCTTTTCATTACTAAGTTCACTTAATTTAAAATTTTATAGGTCTGATGTATATGTTAAGTGTATGCAAGGAACTCAGGTAGTTTGGCTGCAAAACAGTGCTGGTCACGCACGTTGGGGACCCAATGAAAATCGTGTTGAAGCTTTACGTGAAGCATTTAGACCACAACGTGATCGTGAACGTGAGCAACAGCGTGCAGCACAATCAGCAATACAACAGCAACAGCAGCATGCTCATACTTCAATCACCACACAATCCAATTCTTCCATTACAAATACGTCGACTAATTCAATTAGTCATTCTCCAGCTTCCAATTCAAGTTTTAGCTCTCTGCCATCAACTTCCACGTCAGGGGTAAGTTTGGGGAGCTCATTATCAGCACACACACCCTTATCACCGCACACATCACTCACAGCTTCGTGCTCTCCAGCTAGTGATTGTTCCTCTCCATCGTCATCGTCGATGTCATCACTTTCGCCAGCTAACTCTAGCAATTTGTTAGATGTAACAAATGCTGCAGTTTCTATTACAGCAACAGCTACAACAACTGGCACATCAGCAGCAGCAGCTGCTGCCTTTGCCAGTTTAGTTGCAGCTTCTTCAAATCCTGGTGTCGTTAACACATCCCCTGTTAATTCCGCAAGTGGTACAATCACCACAAGTGTCGCACAGACAGTTATTAACTCAGCTGTTTAAATATAAGTTTAAAGGATTTTAATAATCTAAGACGATATTGTTCACCTAGAGTAGCTTTTCGTGACAATTCTATTATTAACTAGCGTGAAGTATGTATAAAGAAACAAATTAGTTACTAAGTGCTAAGTTTTCTAAAAATAACCTTCGACATTCATTAGAAAAGTTTGTCATAAGAAAATAATTTTGGCAGTTATATATATAACCCCAAGACACCAATTTGATAAGATGTCTTATTACTCCTTTCAAGGCTTTTTAATAGCGTTTTTTATCATCTTAAAGTAACAACAAATTATTTTATGTAATCCTCATTAATAATGTAACATCAAATGTCATTTTTCTTATATGCTATTAACGAAAAGTATCGTTAAAGAATTAGTCGACATTGTTCCACATTTTTATAGAATTGGGCGACTAATTATCCTTCACATTAGTTTCAATAACAAATTTGTAAAGATGTTTGTACCGCAGGGAATAAATCATTGAAGATAGTATACAACTATACATACTTCTGATCACTTCAATGAGACGAATAGATTTTATAATGTCCGTTTTATTTATTGTGAATATATATCACATTCAATCATATTCAATTATGAAATTGGAATATACGAGGTATTCTATATCAAAGCTATATAGGTTCCTTGACCTAAAAAGCAAGACCTCAAGATCATTTACTAAAGCTATTAAGACAGACTTCGAAAATGTCACACCACATTTAGATTGCTCTACTAAATAAATTTGATATTGTTAGAAGTGGAACCTCTTCACTTTACTTACGCACCCAGGCAGTGCTCAACTTACCTGAAATATATACATTAAAATAAATAACACTAGCTTACAGCACTAAAGGATTAAAAAAAGTGAATTAAAGATTTGGAAAACTTTTTTTAAAAATCATCCGTGTAAAAATTTTTAATTTTTTAAATATTAAGAGTTAGCAGGTCCAATAACTACTAAGCTGTACGGCATCTAAGAGGCGTCTAACTAAAGAATCGTGTGAAATTTCCAGTGCTTACAATTAACAATGTTCAATAATAAAGTACGATCACTTTTGCTGTAAAAGCAACAAGTTTACTTTTTGTAATATTTTTATTGTTAATAAAATTTAGATAATTTCGTTAGAAAATATTTCGAAGATGAAAAACAAATAAAATTTACAAAATAATGGAACTAAATGCGGTTATTTGAAAAGGGTCGAAAAATATTTAAAAGAAGTTTTTTTAAATAACCGAATTCGTTAAGCTAGAGTAACAAGTTTGTTACCAAATAACGGGATATGTAATGGACTCAGTTGCGTGTATATAGGAGATATTCAGGGTTCAAAACCCCCATAACATATTTTAATATAAATACAATGGATTTTTTCAATCAAATGTTCACATATGAACTTTAAATTAGTTTTTGAAACCCCGTCTTAAATAAGTCTCTCTATATACGCCCCTGAAATAAATGACTAAAGCTATATGACTAAGTAGATTTCATGATATTGACATTGATGATTAAAGCTTGTTTTTGGGTGGAACTCCTCGATACCTTATATCTCAATTAATCAATTAATATTGAAATGTTACCCGTTTTTATTTCTTCGACTAAGAAATCACTTCCCAACATTATATTTAAAAAAAAAACATTTTTTATTTGGGAAAGCGGTTATAAGCAAAGAAATCACAATAAAGGGCATAGATCGTGTGAAGCATCATTGTTGCGGAAAATTAAACCAATTTATATGCCTTTTTGACAAATATAACACAAAAAAATCTTCCATACAATTTTTAATGACACGAGTTTATATAAAAAAATTATCTAAAAAAAATTAATGTAATAACTTTTTTTTATTTTATCAATAATGCAAGAAGAATGAAATCATTTATAATTGTAAATACGATACTAAATATTTCTATAAAAATAAAATTTATTTTATATCTATATTTTAAGAGGTTTATGAAACTTTTATTTTTCAATTTTCTTATCTATAAATATAAAGAAAAAACACTGAGATTAAACATTTATATTCACTTTTAGGTTTGTAATCCAATCTTTAAAGAAATTTATATATGAATGAAAATATATACATTAAGTAATATTATATCATTTTTCTTTTTTTTTTTGTTTTTTGAAAAATTATGTACTTTAAATCGAACACTTATTGGCAAACACTTACTTTTTAAACAATTAATTCTAGCTTCATAAATTTGAATATCTAATTAATCTTTTTAAGAAGTTTAAACACGAGTGTTTTGAAATAAATACCTTTATTTTAAGTAGCACTTAAATCTATTTATAAAAATGAATGCAATAAAATATAAAATATTGTAAATAAACTTTTAACTTAAATTAATTAACTCAACACTGATTTGGGGCAATATTCAAACAAATATACAAACAATATATTTATTATATTTCACTAAATTTAAATGCATAATTTATTAAAATAAGAATTCGTTTTAAAAATGAGCACATAACTTATTAAGTTTGGTCATTATAGATAAAAATGTCTACAAATAGATTATTTAGAAACTATAACCTCACCTTGTTAGATAAATCTACTAAACAATATTAATTGTTAATATTTATAAATCTTAAGCAAAGGAATTGTTTACAGCAGTTATTAATAAAATTAATTAAGTAGTAAGACTTGGGTGTTTTATTTAGAAATTTACAAAAAGCAGTACAAAAAGGTTTAATCTACATTTTTTATTTACAATTATAGATCATTTGCCAATGCGTAAGCTACTAACGAAACTATGGTATGGGTACTAAGAATAAACTTTATACTTTGATTAAACAATAAAATAAGGTTTTTATATATGTGATTGTTACACTAAAGGATATTTTTATTGCATAATTTTGTTCATATGGTTTAAATTTTATAAAAATATTTTAATTAATATATGTCAGTTTAAAAACTACGAATCACTACAAATATTTATTTTAAAATATGCTGCATTATAGAAATAATTTAATTAAATGTTATTTAGTGAATTGTAAATTTCTTGGAAACCCAGTAATTAAAACAAATATTAAGCGAACATAAAAAACTTTATACTTTGATATGTGCATATCATATATAAACAGAACAATATAGTAGAACAGAGTTATCAAAAGAATTAGTATTCTATGTGTGTAATATAATATATGGTTAGACTTGTAATCTAATCTAATCTCACTTATTGCTGTTTGGTTTCTGGTTAGTTTTGCATAGACTCTTTTTCGTTCTTATAGCTGCATACTTTATATAAACTATATTTAATTGTATTTATTCATTTTACTAAATGACTATAGAAGAAATTACACAATTTCTAAACTGGAATCGCTGTTTTTAGTAACAACTTCTGTTTCAGAAGATCCTGATCCTGAGCCCGCATCATCTGCCTTTTCATTATCGTCTGACTGACTGTGACGATGACGATGTGCTGACGATAATTGCCAAGCTGGTATAAGTGGAGAACCAGTAGTCAAAGGAGATGCAAATTGCTTTCTATATGAGAAATACGATTAGAATTTAATAATAAACAAATTTAATAAAGCTCATTCTACCTGTTAAGAAGTAATCCTTTTATTGCTTCTATATCACTCTTAAAATTATTAAATTCACGATTGATGTGTTGTGTATGCTCACGTTTTTGTTGAGATAAGGTGTCTTTGATTTGAGTCAACTCTTGATTAACTTCATCAAAGCGTGTATTCACTTTTTTATCGATATCTTCAAGCACATCTTCAACAGGTTTCTTTTTTTTCTTGCCAAACAAGAATGGTTCTAAATATTTCTATAAAATAAGAATAAACGTACATATTTACGTAAAATATTTTTATAGGGTTAACTATTTTACAAAAAAAATCAAATACATTAAGTGTGACTTAATTTTAAAACAGCTTGTGCAGATTAAGAAGTACGGCAAAGGGCTAACAGATTACTTTATTTTATTGATTTTAATATTACCTTCCAAAACAAATAAATTGCATATGCTAACCCGCTAACTAAAGCCACTGAATTCAATATCTCTTTGATTCTGCCTAATGTTGTCGTTTGTGGTAATAAAGATAACTGGGAATGAGTCTGTGAACTGATATCCATATTTATCACAGTAGGTGCATTAGGATCTTTTGAGAAAACCCCAGCTCGCTCGCATGCTAGCTGAATTTCCTCTGATGTGAGACCTTTGGACCGTAAAAATTGTTGTTTTTGTTTAAGCGTTGTATGGCGAACTTTGGCATTTTGTAAGAAGTTAACTGCTGTTGTTATCTGTAAATAAAGATTATCCACGAATAAAATTTACAAAAATTATATATTCATATATATGTATGTACGTATACATACCAGAGCCTCACGAGGTGGTAGAAGAGAATTTAGTTCACTTGTTTTTAATTCTGTTTCTAGTATTGTATCACCGGTATCTGTATTGCTTGACATTTTAATACCTACTTTAATATCAATCTTGTTAAGTATTAAATCAGCTAGCTTAAAACTATAGCAAATCTAATCTCGTAAAGAAAAACAAATAATAAGAAAGTTAGTTATAGTGCTGCCATATTTATTTTATATATCACAAAATATATTTCGTGACACATACTTGTAATCTGCGTATCGTTTAATATATACAATTTACTTGCTGTGCTATGTAATATACGTATTACTAAAAATTAAAAAAATTTTGGGATTTTTTGCACTGCACACTTTTAGCTATTTATCAACACGTATCGACACATCACTACATTATCGGCACAACTTAGAATTTCCCTCATTTAGAACGCAACTTAGGTTGTGTGCGAGTTAGGCTAAGTTGATGCTAAACCAAATGGGAGATTTTTTGCACTGCACACATTTTGCCATTTATCAACACGTATCGACACATTAATACATTATCGACACAACTTAGAATTTCCCTCATTTAGAACGCAACTTAGCCTAACTCGCACACGACCTAAATTGCCTTCTATCTGAGGGAAATTCTAAGTTGTGCCGATAATGTAGTGATGTGCCGATACGTGTTGTTAAGGACGTGTGCGAGTTAGGCTAAGTTGATGCTAAACCAAATGGGAGATTTTTTGGGATTTTTTGCACAGCACACATTTAGCCATTTATCAACACGTATCGACACATCACTACATTTCGGCACAACTTAGTATTTCCCTCATTTAGAACGCAACTTAGCTTAACTCGCACACGACCTAAATAGCTAAATATGTGCAGTGCAAAAAATCCCAAAAAAATCTCCCGTTAGGTTTAGCATCAACTTCGCCTAACTCACATACGTCCTTAATTGCTGTAGTGCAAACACAATTTTAATCGTGTATAAAAAACTATGGTTATTCACGAGTTCAAGTAACGTGTTCGATAACCGACTAACGTATTAAAAATGCAAAGTTACAACAACAAAAAACACATCAGGGGTATTCACTCTCTCTTGCAAACTCATTGCAAGGTGCACGAAATGCACAGATTGTACGAGAATGCAAATATCAACAACAAAATACACGCACAAAATTTCATGCAATTGCGTGCAATCTTTCAATGCTGAAACCTATGTATATTTGCTTGCAACAAACCAGAAATGGCGGAAATCAGCTGTTTTGTCATTTGTTGCTTCTCATTTTTAAATTTGAATTGACTGTTAGTAAAATTTCGAAATATGTTAATCTATGGCTATGCTATATACATGCGTTTCGTTCAATAATTTAAATCGATGTGACCATTAATTAAGTTTTCACAAATATAATATTATATACATATACATTTGTGAATTAATTTATCTATTTATCAATTTCAGCGAAACTTACGAAAATTTGTTCACATTTTGAACTATTGAATGAAGTGTTTGGACGCATGTCTAATTTTGTACGGAAACATTGCCATTGCTTAAATAAACACTTGCACAGTAAGTAGTTGAAAAAAAGTTATGCAGCAGCCCTGAAAGAGCATGAAAGAGCGTAAAAGTGGCATAAATGTGGTTTAATCACACTTATTTAATACGTGTGACAAAAATGTTATAAAAAATGAATTTTCTTAAGCAATTTCTCTTAGTTTTGATCGAGGTGGGCGGAGTTTCCATTCTAGAAAAGATATTCTCTGGTTAATACGTTGGTCAAGCATTTGCTTTGACCAACATTTATGTTGCACTTTTACTATATTTTTAATGTTGCCATCCTTCCTATACATAAGAAAAAAAATTACTCTAAAAATGTATTTATAGTAAGACCAAATCAAGAGTTTAGGAATATATTTTGTAAGAACGGAAAAGAATTAAATTTTTAGGTCTGTTCCACGAGCTACTCGTAGTAATTTTGAGTAACAATGTGTATACACATGGTGCATTCCACCAGCAAATTTTAGAGTAAGTGAGAGCATCTGAGAGAAGGTAACATCCCTGTAAAATTTGAAAATGCTACACAGACCTTACTCGTACATTTTATTTCAAGTAAAATTTATGTTGATGTGTAAATCAGCTGTTCAGCTGTTTAAATTCAAATTTTTGTATTGTTTATTTACGCGGCACTATTGTTCTCACCAGACTTTATACAAAGCTGTTCCATTAAAATCTGTGTAAAGAGCGTAATTTGGCACTTTATTTCTGTTACGCTCTCAGTTTGTGTTTTACTTGTGTTTTACTACGAGTAGTTCGTGGAACAGACCTATTATATAGATATAGATTATTTTTCTCCATACAAAAATTTTACAATAACTTAGTTGAACTTTTATTTAACTAATTTATTATCGCTAACTAGAAAGGCAATCGTTTCTCACAAATTTTAAATTTTATTTCATATATAACTCCATTCTTTCATTTGTTCATTAAAAATTAATTGATTAAATAACTGAAATAAAATTTTCTGAAAATTTTATAATGTGGCAATATGGCAACATGGCAACATGCATTTTGCATTGAAAGAATAGGCTATATATACAAAGGGAAATTAAATAGACTAATTTTCAATGAGTTTGTTTTAAGTGAAAATTTTTCATAATATTACAATTCACTTGTTTTAAAAAAATTAAAATCTTTGAAAAAAATATAAAATTTTAAAATATCGGCGTCATATATCATAAGTAAAACAAAATATATTTGTTTTACATATAAAACGCTGCTATTTGTGAGCAAGTAAAGTACGTGGCGAAATGGCTTGCTCATCTGCAGGAAAGGATGCTACAAACACAAATGGTAATGCTGGTGTTGTTTCCACCACTGAAGTTGTTGGAAGCAATGGTGGTGCTGTAGCAGCTGCTGTTGGGGCTGTGACCAATACATCAACAGCTTCGTCGACAAGTGGAGCTGTTGGAACATCAAGTGGTTCAGGGGTAATCAATGCAAATCGACAAACTAGATTTACAATGGAAGGAGTAGGAGCTCGAGTAATAAGAGGCCCTGACTGGAAATGGAATAAGCAAGTATGTTGTGAAAATGAAAATTTGTGTTATAAATAAATATTCAAAATAAGTCAATAGAAATTTAAAAAGAAAGAAAGAATAGCAAAATATATTTTAATTAATTTTAATATGTAGAGTTCATCGAAAGGTTATGTCAAAATTACAGTAAAAACTTCAATTGACTTCTTAAGTAAAATTAATTATATTGTTGACATATGTATAAACAATTTAATCAATATAGATTATTGGACAAGTTCATATATGATTATTATTTAAAACAAATTTTTATGAAGTAATAAATTATATGTATTAGATTGATTTCGTTAAATTTCTTAGTTTAATTTTAAAGGCCTTTTTATTTATAACACTTTTACGTTTTACGGTTTCGTTGGTGATCTTCCATATCAGTGACTGCCTCCCGTAATCTACCACTACTATATTCATTAGAACAATTAATCTAAAAAGTTACTGTTGGAATTTTAACTTTTTAGCTCATGCACATTGAAAATAAATACCTTATTTTAAAACCAAATAATTTAATTTTATTATAATTAAAAATAGTTTACTCATATCACATAACTAAAGTCAGCCCAAAATTATTTAAAATACTGTATTCAATAATTTTCCTTTACAGAGTACAAGTCTGAAATTTGAGAAACCAGGGGTAAACTGAAATATATGATTATTGAAATAAACATTATTTTTATTTATTATATTCAAATTAAAAAAAAATCAGACTTCAAATTTTAGCAGACTTGGAAACCGTATTTTATAAAAATTTAAATCATTGCCATCGCTTTATTTTAAATGTTTAAGCTGTTCGGAAGATGATATCCATATTTGCTTTATACCAGCGGTACGTGCTGATCTGTTATAACCAACTACATGTCTCTAATAATAATAATACTAAATATAAAATCGTACGATCATGAACCATCTTCACTATTCCGGTACATCAAAGTCAGTCGCAACTAAAATTGAATTTGTCTTTATATTTATAGTAAACTAATTTTTCTCATGTAATTTTAATTATTATGTTGAGACTAGTTGAATCAGTGTACTTGATCATTTTTACTCTCTACTAATTGGATTATTGTTTATAACTTCGTCAGACTAAGCAATAACTGACCTCAGAACTGCACACCTAACCGAGAAGTCTTTAACCATTTTGAGATTCGATAACGCGGTGAGGATAAGCCTGTCCGTTTTCGTTAATAGTTTTAGAGCTCTATCCTTTATGTATTTTTTGATTGGATCACAATCTTGAGGTCTCTGAGGATATCATTCGTTCTAATGTACCATGGTACCTTGAAAAGTCTTCTCAGAACCTGGCTTTGTGTAGTTTGTAGCTGGTGAATAGTAGTTTCAGACCTTGTTAAAGGCTACACACCCATGTAGAAGTGACGATCGAAATATTTGGTTATATATCAGCTTGCTGTTCTTAGCATTGAGATTTTCATTTTTGAATAGCGGTTGGAGGTGATGAAGGTTGGACATGATAATTCTTTTCAGTTGAACATGTTTAAGCCATGTGAATTGTTTGTCTACTGTGATGGCTAGATATATAATGGTATGACCAAAACAATGATTATGTGGCAATGCACGATGTTGTTTTTAAAAATATATATGCTATGTGGTGTACCTATTTTACTAGATTATTTTCGTTCATTAATGTAGATACATTGGTTTATCTCTAACAGTTTTATAACATCAATTATAACAGTGAATTAAATAAGATTCTTAAACACAGCTCTCTTTACCTAACATAAGCATGTTTTCCTTTAAATATCATTCAACAAGTGCAGGTTTAGACCTTTTAAACCTGCCGCTGATAAGTGCAGTAGTATTTCTTTTTAATTTATTTTTATTTAATTACAATAAAAGTGATTTACATGATGATATTTGTTTGTTTTGTAATCTCATTTCTCATCTTTTCAATTTGTTTCGATTATAAAATAAATTATATTTTATTTATTTTAAAGAGGCTTACACATTTACAATTTTACGTTGTAAAAATTAACATTGCAATGATTGAGTTTCGATTCACTGCAAGTTAAGACTTTTGATTACACGGTGTCTACAGTTACATTCCGAAACATTTTTTCTATTTAATCGCCAAAAACATTTTTAAGTGAATCTTTGATGGGAAAATATAACTACAGAGTGATTATCTTAGTAAGTGGAAGCCATAACCTATTGATTTCTTTTTTAATGTACAACAAACCAAAGACGAAACATGTTTTGTGTTAAATTTTTATCTTTGAAATGTTTTGTTTTTTTCTCCTGCAACGAAAAATTAAATGGCAATTGTTTGCAAACATATTGTATATATAATTCTTACGAAAAGCATTCAATAACATCTAGATTTGATATTAAAATATGGTCTTATATTAATAAAATTTTGTGATTAAAATTAATTTTTTGTTTAAGGATGGCGGAGAAGGTCATGTTGGAACAGTACGTAACTTTGAGTCATCAGAAGAAGTAGTCGTTGTTTGGGATAATGGGACGGCAGCAAATTATCGTTGTGCGGGCGCATACGATCTCCGTATATTAGATAGTTCTCCAACAGGTATTAAGCACGATGGTACCATGTGTGACACCTGTCGACAACAGCCGATTTTCGGTATACGTTGGAAGTGTGCTGAGTGCATTAATTATGATTTATGCTCTATATGTTATCATGGCGATAAGCATCATTTGCGACATCGTTTTTTCCGTATAACAACACCAGGTGGAGATCGCACAATGTTAGAGCCACGACGAAAGTCTAAAAAAGTAGCAGTACGTGGCATATTTCCAGGTGCACGTGTTGTTCGTGGCGTTGATTGGCAATGGGAAGATCAAGATGGTGGTGTTGGCAGGCGTGGTAAAGTGAATGAAGTACAAGACTGGTCTTCGGCCTCGCCGCGTTCAGCAGCTTATGTTGTTTGGGATAATGGAGCGAAAAACTTATATCGTGTAGGTTTTGAAGGCATGGCAGACTTAAAGGTGTGTAATAACTTGATAAACCTATAAATGGCTACTGATTGATTTAAATAAAAATATATAATAATTATTAGAAGCCTTACATCTTTTTCTTTTTAATTTAAAAATTTATAGTACGATATTTAAACATTATCTTTTATAACTATGGTCTTATTGTTTATATTAAAAAACAATATAATTTAAGGTTGTCAACGATGCCAAAGGAAATACCGTATATCGTGATCATTTGCCATTACTTGGTGAAAATGGTCCGGGCAAAGGTCCACATGGCTTTCATATAGGCGATAAAGTAACAGTTGACTTGGATTTAGAAATTGTACAATCACTGCAACATGGTCATGGTGGTTGGACGGATGGTATGTTTGAATGCTTAAATAATGCGGGTATGGTCGTTGGCATTGACGAAGATCATGATATTGTTGTTGCTTATAATTCTGGAAATCGTTGGACATTCAATCCAGCTGTACTAACTAAGGTATCATCGCCAACAACTGCTCAACCAGAATTTCAAGTTGGTGACATAGTAAAAATATGTTCTGACGTGGAAAGTATTAAATTATTACAACGTGGTCATGGAGAATGGGCTGATGCAATGCAACTGGTAAATAAATTTTTTGTTTAAAATTAACACAATAACCTTATAACTTACTTTTTTTTATAGACTCTTGGTAAAGTTGGACGTGTGCAACAAGTTTATCATGATAATGATCTAAAAGTCGAAGTTGGTAATACATCTTGGACATACAACCCACTTGCAGTAACAAAAGTGGTATACTAATATAACATCACTATAAATTTAAATATATCACATATATATTAAATCACATATTATATAGGCTTCATCTACTGCTGACGGAACTTGTGTACCAGTTATATCAAGTGGAGAACGTCTATCAGCTATATTAAAGAAATTGTTTGAACCTAATGTGTCTGGCGATGCAACTGAGGAGTTTGTAAAAGCAGCAGCAAACGGCTACGCAGTAAGAATTCTAATACTAGATTTTAATAAATAGATTTATATATTTTATTTCAGTCGCGGTGCGAAGAATATCTCACTGGAAATGTTCAGACTAATGGTTCTAGTAATAGTATGGCAGGTGCTGCTGCTTCTGCTTCTCCAAACCCTCTACCAGATGTCAATGGCGTATTTGCTGGACATACTGCTTTACAAGCAGCCAGCCAAAATGGACATATTGAAGTTATTCAAGTTCTTTTACGGCATAGTGTTGATGTTGAAATCGAAGATAAAGATGGTGACAGAGCTGTACATCACGCAGCATTTGGCGATGAGCCAACAGTAATTGAAATACTCTCAAAAGCAGGTGCTGATTTGAATGCTAGAAACAAACGACGACAAACTGCGTTGCATATTGCAGTTAACAAAGGGCATCTAAATGTAGTGAAGACACTTTTAGGTTTAGGATGCCATCCAAGTTTACAGGTTTGAATAAACTAAAATTAAATATATGTCTCACTTATAGCTATAATGGTATTTAATTAGGATTCAGAAGGTGATACACCTCTACATGATGCGATCTCTAAGGAACATGATGAAATGTTATCATTACTACTTAAGTTTGGAGCAGATATTACGTTAACCAATAATAATGGTTTCAATGCATTGCATCATGCTGCTTTGAAGGGCAATCCTAGTGCTATGAAAATTTTGTTAACCAAAACTAATCGCCCTTGGATTGTTGAAGAAAAGAAAGATGATGGCTATACTGCTCTACATTTAGCTGCATTAAATAATCACGTTGAAATTGCTGAATTATTAGTGCACATGGGAAAAGCTAACATGGACAGACAAAATGTTAATTTGCAGACAGCACTGCACTTGGCTGTAGAAAGACAACATGTACAAATTGTTAAATTGTTAGTGGAGGAAGGAGCAAATTTAAACATTCCAGACAAAGATGGTGATACACCATTACACGAAGCTTTAAGACATCACACTCTTTCTCAATTAAAGCAGTTGCAGGACGTTGAAGGTTTTGGAAAGTTGCTAATGGGGCTAAGAAACCCCAACAGTAAAAAGGTAACTTAATACTGCGCTAAAGTTTTGTGTTAAAAAACAATAATTTTCATTAATTCTTTTTATACATCTTAGGCTTCAGCTTCGATTGCGTGTTTTCTTGCTGCAAACGGCGCTGATTTGACATTAAAAAATCGCAAACTTCAAACACCTTTAGATTTATGCCCGGACCCAAATCTATGCAAAACTCTTGTTAAATGTTATAATGAGCGCAAAACTGACGATTCGGAACTACCAGGCAATGTGGCTGGAACAAGTTTAAATGCACGTGCAAGGGCGTTAGCTGTGCCCAGTAGCCAAAATATATGTAGCATACAACAGGTTCCAACAACAAATATGCAATTAAGTGCAGCTACAAATACTCTATGTGCTGATATTTCTCAATCATTACACATTTCCATAGACTCTAGCAAAACACTGAATTTGGAGGAGTGTCTTGTTTGCTCAGATATAAAAAGAGACACAGTATTTAAAGTAAGAAAATTTCTAATAATTTAATTAAGGAATCCTAAATCATAAATATTGTATTTTTAGCCATGTGGTCATGTTTGCTGTTGTGATACATGTGCTCCAAGGGTTAAAAAATGTCTCTTATGCCGCGAGACTGTCTCATCGCGAGATAAAATCGATGAGTGCTTGGTATGTTCGGATAAGAGGGCATCAGTATTTTTCAAACCATGTGGACACATGGTGGCTTGTGAAAACTGTTCTACACTAATGAAAAAATGTGTACTTTGTCGTACACAAATCGAGGAAATGTTACCATTTACTCTATGCTGTGGAGGCGCTGGAATCCCAGAAAAAGTAATTCAAAAAATTTACTGCAAAACTAGATAACTAATTTTATATTTTTTTTTTTTTGTGGTAGGTACATGGAACAATTTCTCTTACAGAAGATAAATTGAATGAAGCTAATTGTGTAAACACATTGGGACATGGCGTGGCAATGAATAATACAGTGCCTGGTGCTATGGCCACTCCAGTTGCCGGAAGCAATCAGTTAAATAGTCAAAATAACATTCTTACTGCGGCTTCATGTAATATGATCGCACCATCAAATGTTAATAACTTCCAAGTCGAAGATGTGCAAAAATTAAAACAACAATTACAGGACATTAAAGAACAGGTAAACAAAAATATTCATATAACTAAGTTCAATTTTCATAAAACGTTTTTTTTTTCTCTCTAGACTACATGCCCTGTTTGTTTCGACAGAACAAAGAATATGGTATTCTTGTGCGGACATGGCACATGTCAAATGTGTGGTGATCGCATCGATGGATGTCCGATTTGCCGCAAAACTGTAGAAAAACGTATCCTTTTATTTTAAAATAATAAAAACACCTGTATTCATAAAGCTTCAAAAATTATAAATAAAATGCTACTTTATATTTTGTACTAATCTTTTGAATTAGTAATAATGGAGATTAATTATATAAATTGGATATGCCATTAAAAATATTTTCATTTTGAATTATAAATTATATTTTTATAGCAACTTATGTCTCTCAATATATACTATTAACAATATATATATCACATACTTGTATTTCAATGTTAATTTTTGTATGATTTAATATAATTCAATAAATTAACTGAATTTTATTTTAATTTATGTTATTATAATTAATGGGAGGGTCCACTTATGCTAGGATCTATAATACTAATGTCATTTTAAAAAATATTAATGCCAATTAATATCTCATATATGTAGTTCAATGACATCTCATTATTTTGTGGTCAAAAAGGGGTATTTAAGTCAAAAAAGAAACGTGCTGTAAACACTTCCAAAAATTATTTTACAGTTGTGTATAGTTTGGAAAATAGTAATAAAATATTATTTTTTTCAAAGTACGACGCTTTGAAGATTATTGGTGGTCCCGTTATACATACTCAATTATAAATTTAACTAAAAATCAGTTAAATAATACGTATAAGCGATGGTGCACTTATACGTCTTGACTCCTATTACAAGAGATATTCATAAAACTGGCGAACAATGCAGAGAACCTTAAAATTTGACTGAATAGTTCAACATAAAATCAGACAAAATATTAAAATTAACGAGAATTATGTGCAGTCTTAGAATTACTGTCTTAAAACCTCAAATTAGACTAACTTTAATAACAACAACAACTCTGTAAAAATTAAATAACCTCATCTTAACACAGAAGTAAGATATCAAAGCATCAGGATACCGAAAAAAGGAACAACGCTATAAATTAAAAATTATGGAAAATTATTAAATGCGGTATTAGAAAGTTCATACATTAGACAGAGTAGGATATCTAGTTGTTATTGTTGTTGTAACCCGCTGGAACTTGCTTGTGAAGATCTTCTGAAAGGTGTCAAACGGCACTTGATCGTCGTTGGCGATATCAAGTAACTCTGGCTGCATAAATCGAACAAAGAGATGAGAAGCGTTTCACTTTGTAAACTTTGTTAAGATAATTCTTAAATATCTACTAATCTTTAAAAAACCAATAAACATACATTTTTTAAAATATGGGTTATGTTTTCGATTATTTGGAGGTTAGATGATAGTGAAGTGAGTTCCTCTCTTTGTTGACTATCATATAATCTCCTTAGTGGACTCAATTTTCATATATTCAAAGAATATTCCACTGCAAGAATTTATATGAATAACGACTAGCTTGCATATTGGCACCCAAGTCAAGTCATATGTACTTTCTCCAAATTTATGCATCTGCATGTTCTGAATACCAATAATATAAATAGTTTCTGAGGTCTTCTTCACTCAGCTAAATATGTGCAGAAGATATAAGAACTAAAATAAATAACATATATGTTAACACATTACTTTTTATTAAATCTTATAATTTGATTTTTATTCAGTTTAGCTGGAGATACTTTTATTTTTTGCACTTAGTTTATCCATAGCTTTATCGCTCATTAGATCCTTTAATATATCTTTTTTACTCTCGAAATAATCTCTATACCATAATATATGATCCTTTTTTTCTTTAGCTGTTATATAAGGATTTTTAGATAAGCCAACACATACAAGTTCCATAAAATGACGAATTGGTCCTTTTGTTGGGCACCAACCTTCTAAATGTTGGTCCAAAAATATATGCTCCGAAAAATCAACATCAATTTCATCAGTCCAATCTTGTTCATTGTCTATAGGGAACCGCCACACTTTTCCGTGTTTAGTCCACAATGCTATTTTTTCAAAATAATTTGCTGGTGGATGAGTCACTTGCAGTTTTAAGTCATTGTGATAAAGATGCGACCAAGTATTTAAAACATCTGGTGACTCACGTAGTTGACTGGTATTTTGAAATATTCCTAATGGCTTGCCTCCGTATAAGTTTACACTGCCTGTATATGTAGCTGCTTCACGTTTTCGTTGTTTTTGCCTTGTCTGTTTTGGCTCAGAAGTTTTCGAATCCAAAACACGACGTACAAACTCTGCTCGTGTAAGTTCGTCAGGTTTCTTACTTCGATCAATTTTCATGCCAACAATTATATTACTATAATATAAGTTTTAATACATTAGCGAAATAATTAGAAATACATTTATCGTAGCTTACCTTAAATTTTGCTCGCTAGTAGATCCACTTTCATCTTTTGGAGAACCTAACAGTTTTGCCAACAACTCTGACTCAGTTTGCTTTTTATTTTCACCACCCAAAAGTTCAGCTACCCGTTTAGCAGCAACGACTATATCTTTTTCTTCCAATGCTTGCTTAGCAGTGTCTTTACGCTTTTTGTGTGCTTCACCAGGTCTAGGAATGGTTACTTGTTTTACAAGACTGTAAGTAGTATCAGTTTTTTGCATTGATGACAAAAGTTTATTCAAACGTGAAGCAGCCGTTTCCGTTTCTTCCGGCTTACTTTTGTCAGCATCTTTTTCATTCTCAGAACCTTCAGAATCCTTAGAAAACTTGCGAACATTAAAATTTGTTTGTGCTGCTAAGGAGCTAAAAAATTTACGTCAAAATATAATTTTTATATATAACATCGAAAATAACTAACCGCACTGTTATTTCAGGAGTTCTTCTTATAAGAAGCATATTATTGCTTTATTAAAACGTGATAATAACCTTTCTTACACAACAACTTTATTTTACTTTTGTATTCATTGCGTGAAGCATTCATAAGTGTCAAAATCATATGTTTGTGAGAAGTATAGGGTCGCAGAAAATCCTAAAAATATTTATCATGTGCACTGACGTTGAATTAAAAATTTATAAATTAGTACATTAATACTTATTATTAGTGTATAAAATAAATAAATGTGTACGTATTATATATATATTTAATGTTTATTGTAAAGGTGCTGTTATAATAAATTTTTCTTATATCTTATTTATTTTATTTTATCTTAATTTTTATTATTTTATGTTAAAAATTGTTGCCTAAAAAGTTTAAGTGTTTACACTTTAATTTAAAGTGATTAGCGTACAACCAAACAAAAGAAAAAATAAATATATATTTGTTTGTAAAGATTACTTTGGATGCAATTGAAATTTTTCGTTCAATACATTGATTCATTGCAATACATTTTTTTTGTTGTAAGTTAAATTTGTTAAAAAATTTTCTGTAAAATTATGAATTTATTGTTTGTTGCCTTTTTGTTTAAATTAAAAATATATATATTAAAATAAAATATATTGTGTATTTCATATTTTAGTTTGAAGTTTGTTACGATTTGCAATATATTTCAGAAAAATATATTATAACAATATAGTATTGATATATTGTAGTGAGCTTTGTTACAAACCAATTCATTTTTATATCGCACATCTTTTCATGATTATTTTGGAGCAAATACGAAGAAATGCAACATATTTATTAAGATAATAACGAAAATAAAGTAAATACGACAGTGTGATTGTAGTACAGTATGCTCTTGATCATTGATCAGTAAAACTTTTTGATTTGGACACAGCAGTTATAGTACGTTTCCACTGCTTACTTAGTAAGCTTAACTTACTAAGTAAATTTCATTAACCATACAAAGAGCTTTCCTGCTTTTTCACTTAACATTTATTGTAAACGTAGTTATCCAGAGCGAAAAAACATTATCTTAATAATTCGAATCTCTAATTTTTCATAATTTTCCTTAATTTTAACATAGTTTTGGATTTTGATTTTCTAAAAATTCATGTGTTTATATGCTAAATATTCCGAAAATCTGGTGAATACCAACATTCGCTGTCATTACTATTTCCCTTAATTTACTCGAAATCGCACACAATTGAACAACAGTAGCTGTCGTTGGCTGCTATATTTCATATATGTAATAAGATTACAATGAGCGGTGACCAATTACTGCATCAAGAGACTGTAGCTAAATCGTGCATTTGGCACATGGTATTAACGGTAGATAATAAAGATTTAGATATTAAATTCAGTTCCTTTCATCTTCCTTTATCCTTCATCATCTATTCTTTATTCATAATATATAACCTTATTATGTTTATTAATATATGAATGAGTTAGCATACGTAGAAGACTTAATAGATAAAGACATTTGACCAAGCGAGGATCTTTTAAACATAATGTGAAAATGTGTAGAACCATAGTACAATCAAATAAATCAATTTTTTATTTTAATATGTATAGCAATTCACAATGCCACGTTTGTTAAATTTCTAGTAAATAATTGCAAAATTTTTATGTTATTTTTTTTGATGTTTGTTAAATATTAAACTCTTAACGAAGGAATTCAGCCAATTGTATGTAAACATTGTGCAATTTATATAAATTGATGCAACCCTGTTGTAAAGAATATTAAAAACGTAGAGAAAAAAAAGTATCAGCCATCTTAATTTACTCTCGCCAGTTTCCAATTGACTTTACGAGAAGGAATGTCGTGAATTGTTTGGTCGCTGGATGGATATAGTTGAAACTTTATAAAATTCATATAAAAATATTAGAAAAAATTCAATGTAAATGAGTTGTTTGAGAAATTTGTATATATAAAGAAGTTAAAAATTGTAAATAAAGATTAGAACATATACGAAAAATTGTGCAGTTTCTTTTGTTACGAGTTTTTCCGAACTGTTGCGCGCAACACACCTTGAAAGAAAACGCGATAACAAGAAATAAAATAAAAAGTAATATTTAAATTAACAGCAATAAGAATAAATACTTAAAGAAACTAGCTGGAAATATCCAGACAAATTTTCAAAGTTTGTGTTTTAATACTTTCCCTTTTTATGTGCTGTGCTAACTGAAGTTAATATATATATTTACCAATATAACTTAAAAGTAATTATAAATCGTACTTATGCGTATAAATAAATAAAAGTATGTGTTTTTGAATATATATGATGTGTATTAAATAATTAAATGCAAGCCAAAAAGGAAATGTGAAACTTGTCTGAATTCGCACGCACACATTCAGACAAACGTACGTGTGCCAATTAATGGGGAAACACAACTGCATTTTTTTATACGCAGCAGTCAGACAAGTGACACTACAAATAGAAAAAAATGTTAATGATCAGCTTACATATACAAACGAATGCAAAAGAATTTTATATTTTTTGAATACTTTTTGTATATAAAATTTAATTTATTAATATTATTAATTTACCTTTTGACTTTTTCGTCAAAATTGCGATTCGAATTTTCTAAATTTTTTGTTGAATGGGCCTTAAATGCTTCATTGTTTTGGTAAATTTTTTAGTAAAGTTTTGTGGGGAAATTTTTTACTATTATTTTTATGAAGCGAATGAGGTTTCAAAACATAATTGAAAAATTCCGTCTTTTGCAAACACAATGAAGCTAGCTCGGTGTTGCCGGATTTCTTATATACAAACTTCATTGATACCTTTTTAGAGTTGTGTTACATTAGTTTTAAAAGCTCGATTCATATTTTAATTTCGGATTTGCTTTATTAAATTTTAAGACCGGTATTAAGGGTACTTTAAGTAGAATTATATATTTACAATTCGCTTTCGAAATTTTAATAAATTAAATCTATTTTTATAATTTTTGTGCTGCTTAGATATACATATTATTATTATAATTTTACTTAAAGTAAATAAAACTAGAAAATTCTTTACAATACCTCGATTGGAACCAATTTTGATGAACTAAGTGAAAAGTGGTTTTTTTTAATTGAATAATACAAGTAAAGTAAAGCAGGTTGCTGATAATTTATGCTTAAATGGATGCAACATCAATAATAACGCAAGTTTCCCGAGATGATGAACAGCTAAATGTTTATCCAAGTGAAAAAGGTAAATTTATAATGTCTTATAATAATACAGTAAAATCTAGTACTAGTAAAAGTTTATATCATACAATCTTTTGCATGTTGGATGACTCATAGTATATTGATACAGATTCAAAAGTGTTAAATAACAAGTTCAACAACGAGTTTATAATTCCATATACAAATATTTTTTTTGCTCTTATCTCTTATGTATACATATTTTTGTAAATGTTTTTATAATATTTACATAATTATTTTAATTAGTAATTATAGAATAAAGTAATTTTTTCATATTTATACAAGTGGCATTTAATATGTATAATTTATATACACGAAAATCTATTAAAATATACCATAAAAAGAATATATTATTAAAGCCATTAAAATATTATTTTTTTTTTAAATATAAAAAATGTATCGTAAATCATTCTATAAAAAATAATAATTTGCGTCCTTGACATCTAAAAGTTTTTATTTAAATATTAATATTAGCAACCTGCCTGCCTTCCAATTTTCTACTTTTCGACCCAAACCAACGCAGGGGTAACACTCAACTCGTTTCTTCCCTTATGACTCACAACTTTTTGTAGTGGTTTTCGCTTTAATGTTTTGTTTTCATATACATTATATGTCCTTCTTGTGTATCCTTGCGTTTTGTTTTGCTTGCCGTCTTCCTTATGATTTGTAATACCAATACCTATGGCATTTAAATTCAAAATAAAAACAACTTGGCTTTGATTTTATTTTATGCGTCTTAATGTGTTTGATAATTCCTTTGTTTGCATGTCAAATGTCACATCTAAGTATGTTTGTGTTTATATTTGTTTACTTCGCATAGAATGTAAATAAAGAAATATGGCGTGGGTCTAGCAGTCAAATATTGCAATATTAAAAAAAATGAAAACATATATATATATAAGTAATTCATTACTTTTATATGTACAAATGTATTGAATTTGAGTAATAATTATTATTATTATTATTATTGTTAGACTCCTAGTAAGCTTTGTCCAGCTCCAAATTTAATTTATCGACAATTCTTTTATTATGAAATGTTAATTTTTAAGTTTGGATATTTATTTATTTTATTGTTTTATTAATATATAACTTTTCTCTTAATACTTAACGCAATATAATAATATGTTTCTATTTCTGTGGATGGGTTTTACGGGGTGCTCTAAAACCCCACTTTATAAGCTATACATTAAGACTGAAAAGTTTTCGGAAATTCTCATTTAAAATTCGCGCGCTGTATATTTTTCGATATTTTAAGTTTATGTAGTTTGGCAGCACTGTCCTTAATTACTATGCCAAAAATGAGCTCGATCTGTCAGACAGTTCGTTTACGGCAGCTGTTGAAACCAGTTCACCTCAGTAGTGCGTTGCGAAATGTCTTCGACGGTCGTACGACCGTCCTGGAAGGCTTTGTACCACTCATAAACTTGAGTTTTCGATAAAACTGATTCCCCATAAGCCTTTTGTAGCATTCGCAACGATTCTGCACACGAAATTTCGTTCGAAACACAAAATTTGATGCAAACTCTTTGTTCAATATTTTTTTCCATTGTTTTTTTCGCAACGCCCTACTGAGGTGAACTGGTTTCAACAGCTGCCGTAAACGAACTGTCTGACAGATCGCGCTCATTTTTGGCATAGTAATTAAGGACAGTGCTGCCAAACTACATAAACTTAAAATATCGGAAAATATACAGCGCGCGAATTTTAAATGAGAATTTCCGAAAACTTTTCGGTCTTAATGTAAGTATACCTTTATGATAAAAATAAATAAAACACACAAATTTAAATTTTATTCCAAATTTATTTCATTTCCTTCAAAATTTCCTTCAAAATATGCTCCTTTTGAAGCGATACACATATGCCATCGCTTAACTCAATCTTCCATACACTTTTCGTAGGCCCGTGCAGGTATGGCTTTTAGTTCCTTTGGCGAATTCTCTTTTACCGATTCAATCGACTCAAAACGCTTACCACGAAGAGGCAATTTGAGTTTCGAGAACAGGAAAAAACGCACGGCGCCAGATGGCGCTCAAATTTGTACCATATGTCAAGAAAAGGGTCTATTATTTGAAAAAGATCTATTACTTAAGGAGTAGTTAACAAACAACAAAATCCAAATACTTTTACTGCTATAAGAGCGAGGTCTAATTGATTGCTTTCGATTTTGATTTCAATTTTAGTTTATATAATCCATATATTGAACAGTATGTTTACGTATTTATCGAATTCGTTCTAAATATCACAAACACTACGACTTGATCCGAACTACGCTATTTATTCTGTATGTCCATTATGGTTTCTTCCTGGTGACTGGGTGCAAAATAAATCTCAGAATCTAATATTCTATTCATTCTTAATTAAACTTAATTATTTTGTTTACGAATTGTTGACTTGTAAAAATTGAGATTGTGCAATTGTAAAAGGTTCTAGCCCCTATAGAATTCAGGTTTATTTTGAACATACATGAAATTTTGTAATTTCTGAAGTTACGTGGTCGTACTTGTATTACACTGAGGCAAGGGTTTTATTTAACTGGACCGGACCATCTACTATTCGAAGCACTAATGCTGCAGATACAGTTACTTCCGATGGTTTTCATAATACTGGCTTTAACTTGGGGAAGAAAAAATCTAGCTTTGTTGGAAATAAAATTATTTCCATAAAACCAGGATGCAAATACTTGTAAAGATTAATATCAGCTGTCATTAAGAGATTATAGGTAGAGTATTGCCACGTGTTCGGAAATCGATTGCAGTTCAATTGGTTCAATTGGTACATAGCTTCACATAAAAGTAAATAACTAATATGTCATGTGAGTATTTATATATGAATAACGTGAACTGCGGCAAAAGTTAAATTTTTCTAAATACAATAAAAAATAAAGGTTAATGCTAATTCGTTCACAAATTTAAGTATTGCACAATTCATATTGTCGGTTATGTAAATTATTAACAATTTTGCACTTTTACTTTCATTTTTATCACATTTAAAAGTTTCTTTAAATTGCTTTAGTCTTCTGTTTATCTTTTATAAAACTTTAAATTTTTTTATATATTTTTTTTTGGTTTGTAAAAATGTATTTTTGTGAATAAATTATTATACATTTATAAAGCGTTTTTACATGTTTCTGGTAAATTACTATATTTTACACAAATGAATTGTGATGACGTCAATTTAATATTGCTGAGCTGTCTGACACTGCTAAAAATACACAAAAATTTAATTTGCTTTATTTGCATTTGTATTATATTATTTTTTTATTTTGTATTTCAATTTTTAAATTCTGTCTATAATCTTAATTCTTCCACATATTTTAAAAATGACAACAATGAACGGGTTATGGTTATGTTAGAATATATATATATAAATATAGTGCCATAAATGCAAGATATATTTCTATAAGTATCAAAAAATAAAAGTGATATCCATAAACAGTTGTCAGCATTTTTAGTCAAAATATTTGGCGTTATCTGTAACAAATTCATAGGCAGCCTATGAAATTCTATCGATTAAAATTAATTTTTGGGTTTGAAAAATGGCTCGCTTGTACCACCTATCCAATTTAAAGATAGTTTTTTTATAATAGGAGTTACAAATTTTTAATTATATACCTGCCACGCTAAAGTGATCTACAGCCGATAATATGGAAAACTTTTTAAACATATTTGCTGAATGCAAACGATCTACTATAGCAACAATACAGAAATGTTTCTACAAATAAAAATGTTCAATTTAAAAAAACGAACAACAGTTTTTAATAACTATGTTAAGTTAATTTGTATCGCTGTGGTTTATGCGTTTATTCTAAAAATAGAGCAAGAGCAAGTCCAACTGTTTTTGTTTACGAATAAACAACAAAAATTGACAAAATTGACGTGTTCGTTGGCTTTGTGTGTTTATGATTTGATTTTGGTAGAATTCAACTCTTGACACTTTGCGCTCCAAAAATTGTATTCAAACAATTAAACCAATTGTTTGTATATCCCAAGGATATACGCGTTATTCGAACAAACGCGAAAGGCTTATATTTTTAGCCCATAAATTTACTTGATAAAAACTATATTTTTCAATTCGAAAAATGCCTCTCTATTACTCTCTTTTCTATTCGAAAATAGATTTCTTTTTTATAGCACATAAAAATTTTAATTAAAAACGATTTTATTGACTCAAATATTTCTAAGTTTTTCGGTAATGTTTACACATTGTTTGGTTAGTCATTACTTTTTTATTGCAGAATTCTAGACTTTTATTTTAAAAAACAGGTGCAGCTGCACTTGACAGTCTTTCTGTAACGTGGCCTGAGTAGGTATTGTAAAGATGATATTGTTTAGGCGAGTTTTTTTCTGTTTTTACTGAGTCTTGAAAAATGAATGATGGAACATAACACCTTCCATTTGATCTATTAAGGCAGATTTCTTCAATTTCTTATCTCAATCACATTAATTGCTGGTAAATTGCTGGTGTAAATTCAAAATATGTGTTTATTTGGCTCATAATAGTTGATATCAATATAATGACATGAAACATACAGCAACAACTATTTACAAACTCCAGCTTTATGCTGTTTTTATATAATATTAAAGTATTAAAAGAAATGTATGAAGTTTAAAATTGAGTTCATTTAATTATTTTTGTTTAGTTCAGAAGACATTATAACATCGAGCTTCTTTTTGTAATTAGATTTGAGCAAATTCGCTTGAAACAATAATGTGGTTCAGCATTAGTTCTTGATAAATGTCATATCCATAAATCAATTGACGTGCGGATCTTTACAGTTATTGACAGCTATTTGCTATAAATCACCTTTTTAATAACTAGTGCATATTTTTTCACATCGCTATACTATATTCTACAATCATCATCAGCGTCACAGCTCGGGGTAAGCTTAAGCTGCATCAACCAACATGCTTTGCATGTTGTTTTAGACCTCCAGTTTTGTTTACCCATTTTTCTGATATAGTCGGTCACGTTGTCGAGCCATATTATACGTGGCCTACCTCTGCTGCG